GATAAAAATAATGCCCTAAAATATAATACTTTTAGACTATTCTCTCCCCCATAGATTGCAATGCCGTAGTAAACTTACTTTTTAATGACAAGCCAGACAGTTTAATTATGGAGTCAACACATTCTTTTAAGACCAGAATCTGAAGTATTGTTAAAAAGACTTTCAGAAGATTGAGAAAAGCAGCTGAACACCTTTTTACTTTTCGTGGTTGACAAATATAGAATATAAAATCAATTATCTAAGTAAATTTGATGAAGTACATAGGCTTCCATCTACGTGCAGGCATTACTTTAATAAAAGAATATATCCAAGAACTAATGGGTTTTTAAAAAAAAACACATATTTTACAAAGTTTTCAGTAGTTTATTGACTAAATGTATTTTCCCTCTGCATATGTACATGTGATTCTGATTCCTCCTTATGCCATAATTCTGAGTGAAATATACCAGAAACAAGAAGATAAATGCTCTATAATTAGCTTACATGAAATATCTAAAATAGGCATATAACAGAGATTAAAAGGCAGGGGAGCACTGAGTTTCTGTTAAGGGTGATGGATAATTTGGTAACAAATAATGATGCCAGTTGTATAATATGGTGAATATTATTAATGTTACTGAATTAAAATTATGAAAAACTGAATATTTCATTAATCTGTATGTTTATCACACACAAAATCACAATTAAGTAGAAAAACAGCAGATTATCAATCTTTATAAAATGGTCTCATTTGTGTAAAACAAAACAAAACCAAACCAATAACAAAAAACGCAACCCTCCAGCCCACTGGGGATACCATTAAACTCTCTAAATGATAAACACCTTTGGTCCTAAATTATTTCAGCCTCGCTGGTGAAGCTGGTTCTTGAGTGAAACCAAGGGAGAGGCAAAGAGACACGGAGACACTGTCCTGAGGACTCAAGAGAACAAGGCTATTCCAGGGTGCCGCAGACTGGCTAGCAAAGTCAAGTTCCTCAGAAATTCATGGTTGGTGCAGTTACTCAATTGGCAATTCATGAAACTATACTTCTTAGCTCTTTATTCTGATACGAACAGAAAGTTTAGTCAATTATTTTTAAAAAAGCACTTACCAATGGTCAGACTTTTAAGTTTTAAAAAGGGGCTACAAGTGCTAACAGCCATAGTCAGAGGTCTCTATGACACCTAAACTAGTCTTTAAGATAGTACTTAGAACGTTCCCACTTACTTGAAGAGCAAAGTACTTGTACAGGTATGCACCTCCCAGAATGACACCAGCAAGCATAAACGCCAGTCCGAAGCACATGCACCAGCACCAGGCTCTTCTCTGGCCAACTGGTACCACTTCATCCGGGTCCTAACACATGACAAAGGCAGACAGTTAATGTTATGGATCATCATCGGTCAGAATCACACAGGTTCAGGTCTGAAAGCAATCCTAAAGGTTATAAGTTTTACAAATGAAGATACAAGGACCAAGGTCTCTCATCAAAATCAGCCTGAGAACGGAGCCTGGGCCAGGGATGCGCAGGCGGCTCTGACTCATCCCAATGCTTCTTCTGCCTTCTCACACTCAATCTGCACCTGCTAACTGTATCTGGAGCAACAATACCCTCTGTCATTTTCTCTGCCCTTTCCTTTGTGATTAAGGTTATTTGCAAATGTTACAACTCTGTCTTGCAATATCAAGGCACTGGGCTCTGTATGTTCACAGGTCAGGCTATCTCCACGCTTTATCTTTTATAAAAGAAAGTACAAGTATGCACTGGATCACTGGAGGTGACAAACCTGCTTAACAACCATTACAAGAAAGAACAGGAAAAGAAAAATATAACCGTATTACACTAACGTTGTATCCAGAAGTAATCCTACAATTTTGTTGCTTCACTCACTCTAAAAGAATCCCATCTGGATATATTAATCTTTTCTGTTTGTTTGTTAAGAAAATGTCATTAGCAGGACATTAAAAAAGAAAATGATACAAACTTATAAAGTCAAGAGACACAGAAATGGTATAAAATCGTGACAATTCAGATTTTTGAAGCACTGTCAGGATTCATTCTGGAGAGAATACCATCTTAGGCCAAAAGCTACAGCCCCTAGACAGGCCCTCTGCTCTACGAAGACCTCTACTCTGCCACCTTGGAGTTCTAGGTAATTTTTAATTTGCACTCAGGTTCATCTTAGGTGAAAAAAGCTGACAAAACTAGGGAAAGTGCTGGTATAAGTTAATAACTGGTTCATGAAATATTACAGACAATAGTGAAAAGGCTTCAACTGGCTGGAAGCCATTATTAAGAGGTGTCCTAGTGTTGTGTACATGTGCAGACATGCATGTGGGTCTTTTCCTTACTGGGAAAAGCCCAATTGGGGATGGCTTAAGGTAGGAAGCTGACTTTGTCTAAATCTCCATAAATGAGTAAAATAAAATGACAGAAGCAGCAAATTGGAAAGCCAAATGATCAAGTGCACAAGAACAAGCTCAATGGATGAGATCAGAAAAAGACAGTCAATAAAGAATGAAGCAAAGGATAAATATATAAAGCGGCATGTTGCTGCTGTTACGTGTTGAGTTGCCTGCGACTCAAAAAAACCCCTTGTACAACAGCAGCCCTGCTCTATCCTGTGCCAATCTTATTGTCTGACACACCCACCCCCAGTACCCCAGTCATTGAATCAATCCATCTCATCGAGGGTCTTTCCCTCCTGCACTATCCCTCCACCTTTCCAATCATGATGTCCCTCTCCAAGGACTAGTCCCCCCTTGCAACAAGTCCGAAGTATGTCAGACAGAGCTTCAGAATTCTGGCCTCAAAGGAGCAGCTTGGTTCCGGATGAGATGGACTGATACAGTAACTAGGGCAATAGGAGTACGTGTATCAGAGTCAGTGAGGTTGGCTCGGGACAGGGCAGGCTTCAGAGGGTTACTATGTACATAGTACATAGGGTTACTATAAGTCACAGGTGACTTGATGGCACATAACAATGACAACAACAACAGGACTCTTTGTTCTCCTAGCAGTCCATGGTATATTCAATATTCTTCTCTAGCACCACTCAAAGGCCTCAATTCTCCTTCTGTTATCCCTAGTCGTTGTCCAGCTTTCTGATGCATAACTACTAATTGTGAAGACCATGGCCTGGATCAGGCACATCTTAGACTCTAGACTGACATCATTGCTCTTCAATACTCTGGAGAGATCCCTGACAACAAACTTTCCCAATGAAATCTGTCTTTTGATTTTCTGTCTGCTGGTATCAAAGTGCTGATTGTGGAGCCAAGCATAAGGATCTGAAATTGTGAGCATATTGTACTCTATTGCCACAGGCATACTTGTCAATGTATTGTATGTTTTTTAAATCAGTGCACTGCAAGTTAGTATTTAATGAAAATAAGCCTAAAAGAATTCCTCAGGCCAAGGAAGATATCCCATCTGTCAAAAACATTACAAGAGTTCCAACGAATCGTAAAGTATAATGAAACTTGAATGATAAAGTATACATACTTTTCTAGAGCCTTTGTCTGACAGGAACATCTGAGGAGACAAGAAACAGTTCCCAAGACAATTCACTTTAGGGTGAAGGCAGGGTGGGGGGTGGAGATGACAGATGGAAATGGTCATTTCTAAAACATTTGCTATCAGCTGCTGAGACAGCCAAGTGAATGCCTACATCCCCCGTTTGGCAGGCTCCTCTCGGAACAGCACATAAATGAATAGACAAAGGGCAGGGGCAGCACCTGTAAAACAATATGCAGCCCCAACTGTCATTCCAAAACAAGGCTTCCAACCGGTTCCTCCTGGTTCAGTTGGGCCTAAGAAGTGAAACTGGAACGCTCAGTTTTTAAAATCTGGGTAACGTGGAGGGGAAAATGACTAGTTAAAGACCCCTGCTAGAGACTTCTTCTCCCTCTTAGAAAATAAAGGCAGCATCCCTACTGCACGGCATCCCTGCAGATTTTGTAGTAGTAGGGAGTGCCCCTGCTCAAAGATGGCAGCCCACCAGGCTAGTGTGAAGTGTGGCTCCTGCCTGTCCTGATGATGATCCAATCTCCCCATCAGGCTCCTGAAAAGCCTCTCCTGACTCTCCCATTCCAGGCCTTCAATCTCCCCCATTCTGGTTACTGATTCACATTACTAAAGTTTGAGTCCATTCCCTTATGTTTTGTTGGCCGTGAATCAATTGCTTCCAAGCAGTTCAAAGTCCTGTTTTAAAACACCATTTTAACACTTCAACAAATAGCTTGTTTTGTAAATAAATCTTAGGTGTCCACAACGTTCCAGGCAGCAGCTCCAGCGGCATAGTGTGTACTGTCGTCTGCTCCAAGGGAGAGATGGGCAGCTTCCTCCAATCAAGATTAACAACCTCTAAAGCCCAATGGTAGGTTGGTTGCGATGTCTGGATGGAAGGAATGCGTTCTTGGAGTTGTGCAAGGAAATGGGAATCTAGCCTCAGTAAGAGAGCAAACCGCTAAGTCTAGAAATTAGACAAAGACCCAAAGTGAGTAAAAGTATGACAGGGGTTTTCATAGGACGAGAGAACAAGAGGGGCTAACAGTGCTCTGGGGAGAAAAAAAAGTCTGTGTGGAATGCTGAATCTGCGTGGAATCTCTTTACCCAGGCAGAAGAGAGAGTCTACAGTCACTATAAGTAGAACAAAAAATGGACAAAACCATGGAGCCAGAATGCATGGCATCTCTTAGCACAAGTGGTATGGCTGAGTGCCCAATGTGGGGTGGGAGAGGACAGAGATGGGGACTAAGAGGTTAACTGGGCACCAGATGACAGAGGGTCTCTCTGCACCATGTCACGGAGCCTGGGTTCTCCAGACAAAAATCACCTTGTAGGACAATAATAAAAAATTTAACTTCTCAAATGACTTTTCTAAAATGACTTCACTAATCCATGAGTCATTTATTTAACACTTCAACAAGGTGAAAGAAACACAGCTTCCGAACCAGGAAATCCATAGGCAGCTCTGGACAAACAGAAGAAGAGACCACCCTCTGTCCCTGCACCACAGTTACGTACATTGTACAAGAGCAGCCGGCCTGCCAAGGTCTGCTCGTTTCTTTTTATCGCTAAATCCCTGCTGATCACTTTCTACCCTGCATTAAAAGAATTCACATACAGATCTTACCTCTAACAGGACTAGGCTATTAGGATTCTTGTGCGTGTCCATTCATACTAATTTTGTATCATTGGTAGCTCCAAGACAAACTTGGCATTTAGGGAGCATTAGACAATATCTGATAATTGAATAACAGATTTTAGATAAGCAAAAAAGGCAGTTATTTAATTCTTTGACCCACAGAAGCAGAAAGTTACAAAGAAACTGTGGGAAGAAGGTACAACAGCAGCTAACAAGTGGCATTAGCAGCAGTGTAACAGGGAAGACAGACCAACGAAAGACACTAGACTGACTTGACAGAAAGTGGCAGATGCTGGCATGACAGCCAAACTCAGCAATGGCCTTGCTATCAGCAACGTAGAGCCTGTGAGAAATTCAATAGAAATTAAGACAAGGCTCATACTCTGAGGAGTTTACTAGAATTAACATTATTACATATGAGAGGTAAATAGTGTTTAGTATTATGATGAGTCATGGAGAGGGATTAAAGTACATTCAAGACACAGAAGCTTTTAATCTAAGAGACTTTAAGTGTCACCTAAAAGCACAATAAGCTTTGAACAAAGTCACATATGTAAGATTTGTAAGATGTATACAAACCTCATGACCATCTCAAAATACGAAGGAAAAGCATTTGGTAAAATTCAACAGCTAATCCTAACACAGCCTCTTGGCAAACTATAACTAGAGGTAGAATAACCTGAATAATCAAGAACTATATAGCAAACATACTTTCGTAAACCTGCACATGTAACATCATCATACCCTTTACAGTTGGAAAATCAAAAGTATAAATGTTGACTACAAACAAAGGGGGGGAATACAGTATGATATTAGTTTTTAACTTTGTTGCTGGTTGTTAGGTGCCATCAGCTCCCTTTGTCTCGCAGCAACCATCCTGAATCTGTACCATCTTCACAGTCTCTTGCTATGCTTACTCCTCTAACTGTGGTTACTGTGTCAACCCATCTCATTAAGGGTCTTCCTGTCCTTTCCTGACCCTCCACCTTTCCAACATGATGCCTTTTCTAGGGACTGGCCCCTCCTGACATGTTCAAAGCACTGGAGACAAATTCTCATCATCCTCGCTGCTAAGAAGTACACTGGTTACACTTCTAAGACAGACTTGTTCTTTGGGCAGTTCTTGGTATGTATTCTGTATCTTCATCATTACCACAATTTCAAGCCAAGCTTTACATGGCCTAATTTAAAACAAGTCACCAAGAC